CCGCAAGCAAAGTTAGTCCGTCCTCGATTGCTCAGCAGCTCCTTCAAGTGACCCTGGTTTAGCATTTGTACTACTTCCTGTCACAGTCTTATGCAATCTTCGGTTTTGTGACCCATTTCTTGGTAAAATTCGCAGAAAGCGCTTGACTTCCGAGTGTTGGGGTTTGACCTCATCTTTTGCGACCATTGCACCTTTGGACCGAGTTTCTCTAGGGCGTACACTATTTCTGAAGGAGAAACATAAAAATTGTAAGCGAATAGGAGTGGAGGCATACCTTTCTCGTGTCGATATGGCATTGTATGTCGAGGAGGAGCATCTGTGAGCCATGGTGGAGGCGTGGCAGACATCCTGACGTAGGGTTGATGCCTTTCCCGACCGGGGCGGGACCCCAACTGATCTCTTCGACCGTCGTTTCGACGATCTTTCCTTTCTTCGGTTTGGAGTGATGTCAACCATTGGGTCGAGACATTTAGATTGTCCTCGTTGGCTCGTACCTCGGCGCAGTAGGCGATATGGATTTCTTTCCAAGTAGTTGGAGGGTATTTCATGAGCCTGCTTAGCAATTATTTGGTCTCTCTCGACCCGTTTCTGTTTAATCCGTAAGGCTACTACTACTATTCCTTCTGACACATTCGGCAAGCTCATTCTCACCCTGTTGAACCGAGCTAAGAAGTCCCTGAGTCCCTCGCCGTGCATCTGTCTTATGGCAAATATATCATTTACCCTGGCCTCTGCCTTTTTGGCTCTTACATGGGCGGTGACGACTTTGTCTGTCATTTCCTCGAATGTTGCTATATGGAGGGCGTCTTGCTCACCCTCATTTATCGTGACATCTGCATGTGCCACACTCCTATCATCCCTTTGGGTGGGTTTATCAAGGATGGTGTTCAGAGCACTTGTTATCCATTCTTCTAGCAGTCTTCTTACTACCGGTGGTGCCTCTCCTATTGCAGATGTAGAGGCTTCCCTTTCGCATGAAGTAGTCACGCTTCCGTGCGGGGGGGTGAAGTGTCTCCCCCGGGTGTGATATTTGGTGTTTCATTTTTGTTATCCTCTCTGCTATCTTCGTTGATGGTGTCTAGGAGGTTAGCTGTGATGCCTACTATGGCTTTTGCCTTGCATCTCCTTTCCCTGCTATTGTTGGTTTGTACCAAGCTTGAAAAAAGTGATTATCCCTTTCAGGAGTCTAGATGAAACTGTAATCTTAGCTAAAGAAATTCCCACAGACGGCACCAAATTGTTTGATCCAAAAGATATTGAAACATTTTTTATTAAATCAATTAAAGAAGTTGAAGGGGTAAATCTCAACCAAGTATAATAAACTCTAGAATGAGAGACATAAGGGATGAATAAGGTAGGTTATATTTATTGATCTCGTGGAACCGAAAGATTAAGCGTAAAAAATGATCGCTTAGAATGTAGAAAGATATTACAATGGGTGTTCTTAGCCAAAAGTCCCTCCTTCATACCAGGGTTTCTACTCACTATATATAAAGGACAATCCCCTCCTGAACCCTAAAATACATGTCATAGAGAATATTCGAAAGTATATTCCTACTGCCTCCTTTTGGGCCTATACTACTGCAAAGGTCATGCTTTCTTTAACCACTATCGATCGTCGCCATCTTCAACGGCCACAAGACATCGTGTCGTGAGGACCTCGTCTCGTGTTGTATTCGACAGTAGTCGTGGTCGTCCAAATTTGGACCTATACAACAATATCACACCATGTTAAGAGTCTATTTGAATTAGTTTAGCCCTACAACAATAAACAAGAGAAACTTTTTCAACAATATTCGCTTTTGGCAGTATCCTGGCATTCCTTTGCTTCTTCAATTTTCACTTCATGAAACTGTGTTTCAGAGGAAAGACAGAATGGAGGACACATTCCTCGTACTTCATCATGAAATCGTTACCAATTATTACTATCGAAAAGGTAGTTTTATATCCTTAATTTTGAATGGAAAAAGACATTAACTGAAGGCAGCGAAAAGAGTGAATAGCCTTTCTTTTAACCTTTTTATCGTGTTGTTTCAACCTCCATTAGTTGCATCACATTACCCCGTCTTTGTATATGATTATACACCAAATATTAATGCCCTGTAGTCTCATCAGGGGTGGATCTACCTTAGCGATCTACGGGTTCACGTGAACTCAGTAACTTTTGTTCAAACAGTATAAATATGTTCGAAAAATTTACTAAATATATAAATATTTGAATGTAAATTCAATTATTATTGAATATTTAATCAAAATTATTGTATGAACCCATAAACATTAAATCCGGAATCTATATCTGTGTCACATTACATTCAATTTTAAAATTGTGTGGCTCTGTGGTATTCAAGTAAGTAGTAACATCAAGTAATCAATATCAACATCCCCGAGTCCGGAACCCAATTGTGGTTTTTTTGGACTCAAATTACATTAATAAGTGCAAAAAAATACTTTTCTATATATAGCGTGGAAATATAAAACGTTATACTTTAACGGTAACTTTTGTCGTTAAGGTATAGTGTTTTGTATTTGCACGCTATATAGACTGTCAATTTGACTGACAGCTATAGCATACAAAAACAAAACGCTATACCCCTGATTAAATATTGCCCTTCGTCTTCTTCCCCATCCAGAACTCTATCCCCCATATTTTACCTCCATTGCTTCTGGTCCCCCCCCTTCTCGTATTTAAAAAAAAATTGTGGGCCCCTCTCATCACACAAAAGGTTAAGAACGTAGGTCTCACATCGTAGTAGAGCATCGTATTATTGTGGTTTAACTCCTTCGTCTTCAAATTTTCACAAAAAAACTACATCGAGGTATTTCGATTTATTTTATGTCGAAACTTGTATAATAATGCATATTAGTTTATTGAATGTGTTTCCATATCGTTTTGTGTTTTATTTGCGAAACTAGTATGTTATATTTATCCGGACTTAGATATTAGTGTTCCAAAAAATGTAAAATTGAGATTTAATTTTTTATGTTAATATTCGGATAGTGTTTCCATGTCGTTTTATGTTTTATTTGCGAAACTAGTATGTTATATGTATTTTTGTGAATGTTATGTGATTAAATTGTATTTGTTCTTTATATTTAGTTTATTGATTAGCGTAGTAAAATGTAAAACCTTTTAGCGTAGTAAACTGTATAGTATTTTAGCGTAGAATCCCTATAGTTTAAGTATTTCTTATACTGGTAGATGAAAATATATACTTTGTTCAATTAAATAATCAAAATATTGAATTGACACACATAATTATTCATGATAGTTTGGTGCTAATGGGCCTCAAATAGAGCCTGGAACCCAATAGGTATATATATTTTGTACAACTAAATAATTAAAACACAAGAATTTAAATTATAAAACAAACACACACAAAATTATCAAAATATTGAATTTGACACACATAATTATTCATGATAGTTTGGTGTTAATGGGCCTCAAATATCGAGCATGAAACCCAATAGGTATATATATTTTGTACAATTAAATAATTAAAACACAAGAATTTAAATTATAAAACAAACACACACAAAATTATCAAAATATTAAATTTGACACACATAATTATTCATGATAGTTTGGTGCTACTAGGCCTCAAATATCGAGCCTGAAACCCAATAGGTATATATATTTTGTACAATTAAATAATTAAAACACAAGAATTTAAATTATAAAACAAACACACACAAAATTATCAAAATATTGAATTTAACCCACATAATTATTCATGATAGTTTGGTGTTACTAAGCCTCAAATATCGAGCCTGGAACCCAATAGGTATATATACTTTGTACAATTAAATAATAAACATACAACTAATGTTGTTCAATTTACAGTTGACGACATGGGCACGCCTATACATCCCGGCCCTTACTCTCGTGAGCTATAAGTGCTTCAAGGCGATCATAGGTCCGCCCATATATGGGAGGGAGAGTTATTGTCCCAGACTCTCCGCGCTAGGAGGGTGGACGACCTGTGGGATTTTCTGAGGCATAGAGATCTCCACGAGCGTGTAGTCCATCGCCTCCAGAATACGGGATTCTATTGGATTATTGAGATCGGGTGGATGCAGGTTGACTGGGCTTTGATCACGACGTTGATTGAGCGGTGGTGACCGGAGACGCACACTTTTCACCTGCCCATTGGCGAGGCTACCATCACGCTGTAGGACGTGGAGGTTTTATATGGTCTGCCCGTTGATAGAGTAAAAAAACAAAACGCTATAGCGGTCAGTCAAATTGACAGTCTATATAGCGTGCAAATACAAAACGTTATACCTTAACGGCAAAAGTTACTGTTAAGGTATAGCGTTTTATATTTTCACGTTATATATAGAAAGGTATTTTTTTTTTTTACACTTATTAATATAATTTGAGTCCAAAAAAATCATAATTGGGTTCCGGACTCCAACATCCCAGCCAACCCGACAAGTTGAATTAGATGGCATCACCACTCCAACTCCAAATTTAGATTTAAAAACCTCGTTTAATGCAAAAATAATTATTCCATCCGGTTCATAATAAGTGATCAATTTACTTTTTTATTTTGGTCCAAAATAAGTGTTCAGTTATGTAATCAAAAAAAAAATCAATTTGTTTTTACTTTTTTATCTTTATGTGCATATCCCTAAAAAGTTTTATCAATCGTCACTATAACTATGTGACTAATATTCAATAAGGATAGTTTAGGTATACTAGGTACTTATGTATAGAATTAAGCATTTTTTTAATGGACTTGTATTGTGAACGAAGAGAGAGTATTATTACAACTCTAAGATCTCAACTACCGCGTATGAGACAAGACTGGCACATTGATTGAAGAGAAACGTGTTCCTTATTGTACTTAAACACATTCAAATTATAAGGGGACCAGACCATTGCTGATTCCCTGTAACTTCCATTTTCCGCAAATGCAGAAACACAAGTTTTAACTTTTCACTCATCTGATCGCAGAAAGTTAAAAAAAATTAACGAAAATGATAACACCTTCAAAAAATAGAGTAAAAAAGGGCAATGATTACATAAATCCATCATTTTAAGCTTCAGATACATAATATCTAATAGTACTACTAGTACTAAATTATTCTTGAAATTTACACAAAATTAGAGTTATCTCGTACAATCATTAATACATTCATACAACATAACCTTCAACTAGAGTCGGCTTCTCACTTCCTTCCTCTTCCTCTTCCTCCTCCTCCTCCTCTTTCACTTCCTTTTTCTTTCCGCCTTTGCCTCCAATCTCCAACCCCTGCAACCCATCCACACACGATTCACCGCCTTCCGGCAGAGATGGCTCACCGACCAAATCTCTGCTGTTCTCATCCTTAGCACCGTCTACAACCACCACATCAGTCGTCCCCTCCGGCACTTCGCCGCCGCTGCCCTTCTCAGTAATGCATTTCCCTGGATTTTCCTCAATACCCTCAGTTATTCCTATAAGAGCATCCTTAGAACCCTCGATTGGGAACGGAGTCTGCACACACTGCCCTTCGGATTCGTCTTCGTCGTCCGATGCTGAAATCATGGATCGTACGGCAGTTGCGGCTTTAAGAAATGCTTCTTTGATTGATTCGGGTGGCAGTGCACAATCTTCGAGGCCTGCGTCTTCGAGACGAGGTGGTCGGATTTTGTCGAGCAAACTCTCGGATTCCTTTGTTAACTCCATTGTTTCTGCTTGTAATAAAATTCAGGAGGAGAAAAAGCCCTAAGTTTGTTGAATTGGAAGACTAATGAGAAAATCGATTGTGAGTCTAGAATTGTGGACCACTTTTTGCTTTTGTAGAGGGCGAATCGGTAAGTGTCGCCGTTTGAAAACAGTCGCATGAGTTGAGATAGGACACTATTTTAAACCGACACAGTTTGTCGGTTGAGTCCGAGAACCCGTATATCGTGTGAAACCCGCAGCCCGAAAAAATTTAATTTGAACCAGTGCACGTGTTAAATTATATTTAAATAATATATTAAGGTAAGAATATATTTTAACTAACTATTAAGTTTTTTTTTTCCCACCTAACCAACTATATTACATTAAGTTACAAACAAAATGCATTTATCATCTTGATAGAAGGATGCTTGAGTCCTGATATTCATGAAAGCCACCTCTGACTTTCGGTTATCGTAATATATATATATGTAAAAGATTTTAGATATTTACAAATAATAATTTATAATAAGCAGATATAGTTACATGAAAAATAAAATAGACAAATCCATTACCACATGTTACGTCCTTGTTTGAACTACGCTGACCAACATGAAGTTACTCTGATTACAAATATGTTACTCGTGGGTTGAAAATACAGTATACCTTATGTGGTTGTGAAAAAATGATTAGTCTTGGGAGCCACAAAATTCAATAATGATATTCAAAATTTGAACATCATTTGCTAATGGGTTATGCAAGAATGTTCTCGGTCTGTTTTTTTATCAATAACAAATAATATCTTCTTCTATACACAATATAATTTTTCGATGAAAGTCGTTCATTTGATCACCCTTGGCCACACATATAGTTTCGCCCTGTCTTTGGTCATTTCATTTTTCCATTTTGCCCACCGAAGTAATAGTGGTCAAGAAGACTTTGAAATGACCAGAAATTCAAGGATAATGTTTGCAAAAAAATTACTATGAATAATATTTTCATACAGGAGGTGTTCGTGAAATTACCAAGGAAGACAAACAGACAATTTGTCTTCTCCTTTTGGAGCTAACTTATGTCATCTACGACCACGAAATACCTTGGTGTTCAAACATCCCAGAGCAGCATTTTACGAGACCACGTGCCTCACATGATTAGAAAAGTGTCAAAGACATCATTACAACTTCCAGAAATTGTGTCGTCGTAAAAGGCTTACACAACTAAATCGAATTATGCAAAAAACACCCACACCAAATGGATGATTTTCTTTTTTATTTGCTTGAACCAATATGTTCCTCATTTCAAATAGTAGGATTGCCAGGTCATATACGGAGTAGAAAGCAATCTAAGGGAGCACTACTTTTTCACAAATGCATGGACAGTGCAATTTATTGTTATCTCTGAAAAAGGGCAATATAATTGTTCTTAAAACATGTAGTCCAGTGTCTGGATCATGAATTGTATATTATTATGTCCCAGCATAAGATCTGAAATACAAATGAGTATTCAAGGAAAGGGAAAAAAATTTGCAACGTCATAATTACACTTTAGGAGTAATCCACGTCAAAAATCAAATACGGAGGACTTAACGGCATTGTAGTAAATAAATCATCAGAGTAAGGGAACTTGCACTTGCAGTTATCGAATAATGCAACTGAAGAAACCCTTCAACATTCACATCCTGTTGATCTTGATTGATTTCCACCAGCAACATCAATAGTATCCGGAAGGTATCTACAAGGTAAAAGATTAAAAGAGCAATTAACTTCAACAAAAATCTTTTACATCTTAAATGTTTTGGCATACAAAAATTGGCAACTTTACTGTGTCTCTCAGATGATCTTCAGACTTGTAATTTTATTATCAAAGGCATGTTAATATATTTCCAATTTCACAATGGATTCTGTCAAATTACCCTCTAGATGTGAAATTGAACAATCAAAGTGGAACACGAGAAGTAACTTTCAAGGTCCCTGTCTAAACTTATCTCCATCAAGCATATCTATTAAGATCAAGAGTTTACTGTTTTCAGAGATCATTTCACTTGGACGATATTGACTCCTTCAAAATAGTGCTTCAGACACTTCCACTTTGAAAAGAATAAAGCACTTTCTTTTCGTTCTTTTATTCTCAGTCATTGGCCAGGCAAAGAATCAACTAGGGTTCAAAGTATTTGACAACATTGTAAGCTGAATGCATCCCCTACCCACATAATTGGTAAACTAGACACCTAGTTGGAAGAGGAAGTACTCACATTTCTTCTTCAGGCTCATTTTTTAGAGCATTTTTGGCTATACACTGGAAAGCTGCATCCACATTGAATCCCTCCTTTGCAGAGGTCTCAAAGTAAGGTATCCCCTTGGAGGCACACCATGCCTTGGCTTTCTTCTCAGACACCTGCAATCCACACAACCAATTTTATAACATCGATGAAACATCCATCTACACCCACACAAAGATGCCAAAATCAGTAAGAGCATCACTCAGTGAGGAAGATTTATCAGGAGAGAAATTAACTTACCACTCGACTGTTGCCACCGTCAACATCTATCTTATTCCCCAATACAACGAATGGGAAGTTCTCCGGATCAGATGGGCTGGCCTGAACATTAAGGAAAGAACTTCTCAGAAATCAATTCTACACGCTGGAGCTTGCAGCTGCAGGTAAATTACAGGTTATACTACCTGGATCAAAAATTCTTCTCTCCAGTTGTTAAGGTTCTCAAATGACTTCATGACATTCACATCATACACTAGAACACAACAATCTGCTCCACGATAGAAAGCCACACCAAGGCTTTGGAACCTTTCCTGCCCAGCCGTATCCCATATCTAAGGCAAAAACAATGAAGCCCAGTAGATTAGAAGGGAAATGTGTCAGCAACTCTGCAAAAGTATTCAGGATTTCTGATTTTCAGCCATATCACAAAAGTACCATATATTTCAATCTGTCAAGTCATTAAAGTACCATATATTTCTATCTGTCAAGTCACTGAAGTACCATATATTTAAATCTGTCAAATCATTAAACCTGAAAACCAAGAATTTAGGAGTGCTAATTTCCAGTATACTTGAAGAAACTATTTGTTCGAGGCGAATATAATTCCACTACAGACTACATGAAAATTGTATTGGTTTGACAATTATTTCCCAAGGAAAAAGGTTGTTAATATGCATTAAGCTTGTCTATAATTAGAGTTTGCAAAACAAATTACATAGCTAGATTTCAAACTCATCTATGACATTGGATGTGGTAAATGATAAACAGGTGTATCAAGAATAGATTCCTTTGCTTTGAAGTAATGCACCAAATATTTCGCTGGATCTTTCTTGATCCATTGCTTTTACTGCAAAGCCTCTGCTATTATTGGTGTAACATGTATGGGTATAGAAAAGTTGGGAATGAAAGAAATAAAAGAAGTTTGTTTTTACTGCCAAACGGCCTCCAAAATCCTGTTAGGTGACTCAATAGTTTGTTCAATCTTGATAAGGATTCCATTTGTGTCTAAAACACCCAGTTCAGGATGAGGATACCATTGAAGAACTTCTATTATTCCCTAGACAGTTCTACAAATCCTGAAATATGAAAAGTGCTTTCCATTTGAAAGGCAAAACGTAGAATTGGGAGTATGAAGCTACAGAAAATGTGACACAAACACATTCAAAGACATTGACTCAAACTCCTAAAACAAAATCAGCAGGCTTCTCTTAGTGTAGAAAACAACAGTATCCTATGAGAAATAAATCATTTTATCATTATAAGAAAAAATGGATGTTTGAAAAATGCAAGAGGAAACTCTGTTGCAAACTAACTTCTTAAAGTAAGACACTTACTATGGAGATAATGCTAGGATAAGGAGCCTTGGCATTGTTGGTCAATACTAAAAATGCAGTAAAGTTCAGAGTTAATAATCCGTCTAGAGGGGGGCATATGTGACTTAACATATCCTTTTCTAGCGAATAAGTGCCTTAATTTTTTGCAGGCACTATTCTACTGCAATTTAATCACATCTTGAGTACTTGACACATGTATTTGGTGATAGAAATGTAAGTCGTGATAATGGCATTTATTAAATTGGAAATTAGTGCTAACAAGTACTAAACAAGGGAGAAAGCAATTTCATGGAATACAAGAAGACTCAGAATATTTCATTGCATGCTCCTGTGTCTTGAATCTAACCTGTAATGTGTACAACCTATCCTCAAATTGAACTTCTTTTGTCAAGAAATCAGCTCCAATTGTGGCTTTGTATTGGTTGCTAAACTTGCGATTCACATACCTAAAAAGTAATTATGGAGAAAAGGATATAGTAAGAAGAAATTCAGAAAAGGAAAATGAAGAATATTTACTTTACAATTCAACAGAGAGAAATCTGAGAGTACTGGTTCATCAGAGATGTCTTCCCCACCCTACAAAAGGATTAAAAAGTGAGTTTGTAATAAACTTTAGATGATAAACTAGCGTACAATAAACTCATGAATTTATTGCACATTAGTAATTTACGGCTGCATCAAGAGGTCTACTAAGAAAAGTTCAAACAGAAATAAAAATTAAAGAAACTTAGAAATGCAAAGATGTCAATATATCATACTAATAGTTTTTTGATTACTGAGATCTAATCTAAAAGTTTAAGTTGTCAGAGAGAATAAACTTCAACATAGTATTAAAACAGGCAGAGATCATGGGTTCGAGTTCGAGTTTCACCACCAAAAAGAATTTCTAGGTATTTGGCTCATCAAAAGACATCAAGCCCAAACGTGAGGGGCGTGTTAATACATAATTAAGTAAATAAAAGTGTATTTACTCTAACAACTTTAGCTTTGAGATGATATGATCACACACTTCAACAATTACAACTTTAAACAAATTACTTTCAAAGCTACACACTGTTTAGCTTTAAAATCAAGAGGGGTCTCATTTTTTTAACAGTCAGAGACAAAAGCAAACTCGACTGCTATACAACGTTAACAACAATCTGAAGCTCCCAGATTTTTACAATAAATTGAAAGAAACCGAATCCAAGCGAACCAAGTCAACAACCATTAAATTAGGCTTCAATTCGGAAATCCACATTTTTTTCAAAAATTTTATAGGAAAGGCGATAATGAGATCGGAAAATATGTAAGATGAGAATTTAGGAAATACTAACCCACTATCGCCGAGGATTATGACCTTGAGAAGCATCCGCCTTCGAGAAGCCATAATTTCTTTTTCAAATCCAAAAATGTGAAGATTAAAAATTCAATAAAAAACAGAGATATTGGATTGAATTTTGAGAAGACGAACGTTCTGGTAGGATCAACTTTGTAGACAGAGAGAGGGGGGAGGGATTGGGTGGACACAAATGAATTTTCCTGCTTCTGTAATTGGTTTAAACGGTAGACAAAGAAAAAGGTTAAGAAAAAACAAACGTAAATTTTATGAGTGCTAAAGTGCCAATTCTAATGATTCAGAACTCAATCGTTGCATCACTATTACAGCGAGGATTGCGCTTGTAAATCGAATATTCTTCTTTATTCGTATTCTGTGCTTACCCAGAACTTTTACTCAAGGCTAATTAGACCCTAAAACCTTTTACTTCTCATATCTGACCCAACAGATAAGTCCATGGTCTTTTGTTCCCATGCTAGCTCACTATCACATGAGAGTTCGGTTTAATGATCCATTTCAAATGTTCTTTTAGTTATAATCTACTTCAAACGAGATCAATAGAATTTAATACTTAAAATTTTAAGTCATTCTTTCTATTAAAAAAAAAATAAACAAGTGTGCCATGCAGGAAAATAACTAGTAGCCTTTTTCCAATCATTCGTTATAGAAATGGGAAAAAATTGTACTTATTTCTTAAAACAGAATGCTCATTGGTGTAATAAAATAAGTTGATGGTCTTTTTAGCATAATAATAATTGAATAGAAGTAGAGAAAAGCGGAGTCTTCAAGCTAAAAAATTACTTCAGTGGCATAATTGTGGCAACAAGATAACGACAAGAAAGATAACAATCACGTATTTTTGAAATTTGAATATTACTTGTACATCACAATGGCGATGAATTGGGGTCCAGATTACTAATGTTTGGACAATAGTGCATAGGACAAAATAGAGCAGGTCAAAACAACACGAAACCAAGCCAGCTGTTTCATTTTATATTCCAACATGAAAGTGCTCCAATTAACTCCAAACCCTTTGCCAATGGAAACAGTTTCAAGGATCATATTTAACTGCCATTCGGTTTAAAAAGCCCACACTTCTAATAATGGTCAGACACTTTCACCAAGTGAAAGTTCTCATGACTTCCTCAACTGCTGTTAGTCATTCTATCTTTACATGTAACAATAAAAAATCTGCACCAGCACCTATTTTAATAGATAATTACAAAGAGCAATGGCATATAAAAGGTATGCCAAATTCAACAATTCTCTAACCAAACTACCACGTCCAACAAATTTCTGATAAGAGTTCCATCACTTTGCTCCTTTATGTTCGAAAAATTCTCGTTTCTGTTTCCTGGCTGCCTTCTACTCTATTCTAATGTCTCGTCGACCATCAATACTAGGGTGTGTATCTTGAGTTGTTCTTAGGCCTTCACTACTTGAACCGGAGGGATGTGGGCCGAATTCGCTGGTAGGTCCACTGCATTCACTAGAGTTCTGTGCCTGGCTTTCTAGTGCCATCTTTCTAAATTTCTTAAGGTCTTCCTTGTACTGGGCAGAGTCGAAATCCGAGCTCCCATAAGATTCATATATACCACTATGTCCAGGTCTAAGTCCTTCATTTAAATCATCCAACGGCAAATTTCCTTCTAAAGCTCTGACAATCTGCATAAGAAAATTTTTTACCATTGGATATTAAGCCAAGACAAGCCTTCTTTGACAGTATTTACAAGATTCCCGGAAAGAAAGAAAAAAGCGGTTTCCAAGTTGAGATAAAAATCAAGTATAAACTAAAATTTACTTTGGCTTAATTTATATTACTAGATAATATAGCCAAAGTGTATTTCAGGAACTAATAAGAAGAATTGGTATATTTCAGACGATTCCTAGATCCTCGAATGTAGTCTAACCACATTGTGATTGAGAAAAATGATCATAAATCAAAGTAATTTCAGTTGTATAGTCAAGCTTCCGCTTAGCTGATGCAAGCTGATGAGGGACGCATGGATGTGACAATAAGTATTGATGATGGTATAGTAAAACTGAGCTTGCAGAAGAAGCAGAAGATACCTGACTCATACGAGGCCTGCAACGTGCCAGATGGCGCACACAAACAGCAGCACAAGTAACCATGCGGGTCATCTCAGTAGAGTCATAATTCTTCTCCAACCTTGGATCGGCTAGAGTATCAAAATTGCCATCATCCAGGGCCTGGGTAAGCAAAGGCCTCGCCTAATTTCATGAGAAAATTGTTACTTTTCCGGGGAACTTGTTATTTTGTTTTATATTCAAAAGGGGATGGGGAGCAGGAAGTAGAAGAACATGGATGCTCTTGATCATCTCAGAAGCTTGACAGCTACAAATAATAAACGAAAAGACTGAATAGTCCTTTATAAGAAGTGCACCAGTGAAAGGATATCATGAAGATACTTTTTTTACCAAGTGCAGATAATAGGCAAGCACTGCTACCAATTTGTGTTAGGAAACGAGGTGGAAGATTGGTCAAATTCTAATCCACCAACATGCCGGTTTGATGGGAAGAGAGTTAACAGTCTCTGGTCAATATGCAAGAGAAGGCCCCAGCTTGATGGAGTAGAAAACTGAAAGTAAGCTAAGCAGGCTATGAAAAAAGAGGTTTAGTAAGAGAGAAACCTGAAATGCCAACACCACAAGCAGAAGGCTCATAAAAAAAATGGCGGTGAAGTAGTAGCTAAAAAAGACTTGCCCTATTGCTGCAGTCTATAAATAGGACTACTTGATAACCAGCCAAATTTCCACTTTTCAAAGTAGGCTGGTGCTGTGGAGACTGGAGAGAGTTCACAGAGAGAATTTTGGCAACTATGTCTTACTGCCAAATGTTAGGTGGCATGAGTTAATCGTTCTATTTTGTATAGACTTAGTAGAAATAAGATGTCTGTCCTGTTGCCTTTCGTATAGTCTCAGACGTAAATGAACAGCAGCTATAATTAGTAAGAGAAAAGATTGATTAATAAACACGTTAAATTGACAAATGGTATCCTTTATCTTGTTGTAATAAGATATAGAAACTAATAGCATGGTGCAGCTACACCTTCTCACTGAATCAGCAATAGTAGAGAAACCAAGCTGTATCTGCAAAATTCCTGGTAACAACATCAAAACTCTACACTGACAAAGATTCGTCCAAAATGGAAACACACAACCAACAATAAAATAGAGTTCCGACCATTTAATATACCAAAAAGTTCTAATTCACCAAAATTTCGAAGTAAAGAGGACAATCAACTCCAAGGAACAGAATGCATAAACTCGTAACTCAGGAAGCACATGGCGTATTAACCTCCTGCCCTTATTCACGAGTTTCGAGGAAAAGAAAACAATGCTGCGCACACGCATGAGATATATCTGAACAATATTTAGCTGACCCAATAATGCACCACTCAAGAAACAAACTTACCCAGTCAACAATATTATCATCAAGGTAGTGTTGAGCTTTATCAATTGGCCGTCGTCCAGTTATAATCTCCAAAAGCATGACTCCAAAAGAGAAGACATCAGACTTGTCAGTCAATTTCCCAGTAAGAGCATACTCAGGAGCTAAGTACCTGCAAAAGGTAAGATGTTAATGAATGAAAAGCTATGGAGAGTTCAAAGCTAACCCGTAAATGAATTAGGATCAAATATTGATTCAATGTGTTATAGTAACTGCAAACTAATACTGCACGAGGAAAATAGAAAACGTCTTTAAGAGATAAGAAAGAGAAATACCCAAAAGTTCCCATTACTCGTGTGGACACGTGAGTATCAGTGTCATAATTCAACCTCGCAAGCCCAAAATCAGCCACCTGGAGCACATATAGCAAATGCATCTAACAATCAACTTATCAAGTACAAAGGGGAAAAAAGGAGGCTATCACTGCTAATGCAACCCGGCTCTAAACTTCAGCAGCAGCTACATGATTAACAACATTCAGGTCACATTTGATTACTGGGCTTTAGAAAACCAACCCAGATGACAATAATTAAAATTCAGCACAATCTAGGTTGAATTAAGAAATTTGAAGGCAAAAAGAGCAAGAAGTACTTTTATTTCTTCACTTTAGATCGTGAATACAAATCCAAAGAAGATTTTTCACATTTAGTAGTTCAACTTGACAGGTAAAGGCAGAATTTTCATATTCCCCAGCAAGTAACTTTGACGATACTTTCAGCTCTACATCAGGTTCCATAAATTTTCTGTGTCAAATGGCGTAATTCTTATTTGAATATTGTACTCAAACAAAATGTTGACATTTCAAAGAGAGAAGTATATATCAGGTTTTCGGAGCTGCCAATCGATGTATGATGTGATGTCTATTGTTAAAATTTTATCTTACTGCAATAATAATAAACAGCGGTCAGCAGCAGTTGATCCACTGTTGTCAATCAAGGTGCTGAAGTAAACAAAGGAGTGAAAAAGCTTCAGCCTTAATTGGCAGGATATCATTGCATTAAGGATCTTTTTTTTTTTTTGAAAAGCTAAGTAAATATTATTAAGGCAAATACCAAGATGGTACTGCAAAAACAAATTTACAACAGTACAGAAATCACCATATAGCAATTAAGTACGCTCATTCAATGAATCTAAAAAGTCTAAAACATCAGAGAAGTCTTCTACTGTCCTCTCCTTACACCATTGAAACAGATTTTCTAAACAATTATACTCTACAACTGCTATATGTTTCCTCTCTCCATCAAACACCTCCTATTCCTTTCCCACCATATACTCATTGCATTAAGGATTTAAGGGCAAAACTTTTCATTTAACCTCAACATTATATGTTTCTTATTTATGATGGCTGTCCCTTGCAGCCAGGCATTCTCCACGTGAATAAAGCTCTTGCTTTTTAAAGTAGATCATAGTGGAAAGTAGAAAGGCATGTCTTACCAGAAGCACTAAAAAACAAATCCACATTGATGTACACACCATACACACAGAGATACAGAATTGTGTACTCCACCTTTGCATCAAAATTATCATCAATAAGAATATTGGAGGCCTTGATATCACGATGTATGATCTTGGGATGACCTGCCAAGACACAAAAATTCCAACAGATTTAAATACTTATCAGAAATTTTCCTAATGTAAAACAAGAAAGATAATATCAATTAGCAGAATTCTGCAACTCATGAACATACAGTCTTCGTGCAGATACGCCAATCCTCTTGCAGAGCCTAAAGCAATTCTCATCCTAGTTTCCCAGCTTAGTGGAGAATGCTCCTTGCCTGCTGTTATGTCTCCTTTTTCTTTGTATTAAAATATAGGTAAAAGAAGTATCAATAAGTGAATATTATAGAGGTAAAAAGTTAACAAATTCAACCATTCACAATAAAGAAACATTCACCTCTTGAACAACAGCCATGGCAAGATAGACACCAATAGTCTGATGCACAAGGTTGCTAGGTATTATGAAAGTCTTTTCTTTTTTATAAGGGGGTACTATGAAAGTTTAAAACTCACACTTGAAAATAACAAAAAATAGCAGTTCCCTACCTACTTTCTAGGTGCAATAAAAAGATCCAATGGCAATTAAGCTCAACGATAAGAGATATTTTCCAGGAATTGTGTTTAAAACATAATAAAGAAAAGAAAAAAAAAAGGTGGGGAAGGAAATAAGTTGGACAGCCTGGAACATATACTTCATAAAAGTCTTGTTCTCAAATAACGAAATAGATTTAAAAAAACGCTGAAACTCAAAGGAGTTGTCATCACAAAGTTACACTTCTTGGTTGTAGCTTTCCAGCTTACCTGTTGGTGAAATATGTCAATTTCTTCTTCTACTTGCATGTTAATTTGAAGGACATTAAGGAGCATTCTTCTTCTTTCTCCTTTAGAACGCATTGATTTGGGGTGAAAAGTTATGGGGCAACAAGAAGGGTTGGGTATTAGTAAAAGAGGAAGGAATGCAACCTCTCCGAATATGGAGAAAGAGGATGTAACTGCTTAATTATTCCCTTCCAGGCGTACCAGACCACTTGGGAGAAAGACGCCTAAGGCAAGAAAATCTCTGAACACCCGTTCCCTTACCCTTCACATCCCTCTCTTTAAACAGCACTAAGTGATTGGTGCTTATTTATGCACATCAAAACTTGGTTATTTGTAATAGATGTGTTCATCTGCAAAATAATTTTCTCCTTCTAATTAAGCTTAAATTTAGATCATATGGTGAGGACTTCATCTGCTCCATGAAATGACTATGAAGAACTTTTATTAAACGAAAGTAAGACAGCCGAAAGATGGCAGAAATTTGGAAACCATGTTGCCCATAAAATGTAGAAAATAAACGATATGAGACCCTGAGAACTAACCATGCAAGTGGAACTCCAAGGTTTTGTTTGGGACAAACTCATAAACTAACAACCTCTGGACCCCTGAAATGCAGTGTCCAACCAATGAAACAAGATGCTTGTGATGAACGCGACTAATAATCTCCACCTCTGCTTGAAATTCACGCTCTCCCTGCCCACTTCCAACTTTTAGTTGCTTAATTGCAACCTCCTTCCCATCACGGAATACTCCCTTGTATACATATCCAAAACCACCCTGACCAAGGAGGTTGGTAACAGAGAAGTTATCGGTAGCATTTGCTAATTCTTGATAGGTAAATGTAGTTCTGGAGAAACTCAAGTTGGAAGGTGGCAGTGGAGGAGTAGATCCATCTACTGACGATACTTGTGAACCTGATGTAACAGCTGGTGGAGGAGAGGGATTTAGTGGTATCCTCACCATGTTTTCTGCTGATGGAGGAGCATTTTGTTTCCATTGATGATGTTGACCTCCAAAAAAATTATCTGAGCAGGAAAAAAAAAACATATTAGGTAATAATTATGATGATGTTGTTGTTGCTGATGATGTTGTTGTTGTCGTTGATGATGATGATGATAAGAATAATAATAATAATATCATGGGAAGATTGCAAACAAAGATTAATGCGGTCCCTTCTCTGAGGAAATGGCAAATTACAGACAAGACACTCCCCAAAGGGAGTGCATTCAACTGAAGTTGGTACTTAGGACATATAAGTGAGAAATACCATAAACTGAAAGTTGGTCTTAGCACATATAAGTGAAAAGTACCGCCAAACTTTTGAGCATAAAACCCTGAGATAACAATTTCATTTTGTTTTTTAAGCTTCCATTACTTATTTCCATACTCTACTTCTGGAAATATTAATCCGTTAGAGTACTAAGCTGACAGCAAAATAATGTGGTAAAGCTAAAATGTAATGATTTTGCATCTAAGAAGTGCTGAAGAACTGGAACATCAAATATCCTCCCTTCCCAGCTAATAATCCCAATAGAAATAAGAATATGATGCAATGAGGCTTAAATCTTCATTCAATCATCATCAACTTATTATAAAACACGAATATATTTCTTTTAGTTGATTATTCCTGGGATAAACAAGGATAATATTCAAAAGATCTCATTCAATCATAACCAAGGACACAATTTGAATTAGTGATGCAGTAAAGGATGATGAAAATTAACAGCTTTGTTGTTGCCAAAATGCATAAGAAAAGTTTTTTGATAGTCCACTGTCCCTCAAATTCAACAAATAAATTGAAAACACAGTGCGTAAGTAATAAAATTAAGAGCCAACTGAGGGCAACTGTTCCACTAAAGAACATGACAAACTCAAATAAGTATTAAAATAGCATGAAACAGAATCTCCATTTCAGACAGGTGCCAGAGAACAAAATATCAAAACGTGCCAACGCTAAAGTCCAAATGCATATTAAGTTTAGAAATTAAAAAACACTTGCGTAAATTCAGATTATAATTAAATTATTCATTATCATTTTCGACCCAATAAATGTTATACTTAATAAGTAAAATTAATGACTAGCAAGAATGGATGACGACTTCATTAAGCAGCTATAGGCGCTGTATCAACCTAACTAAAGTAAAATACAAGACTGATATTACTAATATTGCAATAAAAGAAATAAATAAGTTAATACCAAAATCGTCATCAGAACCAATAAGAAATAATCACAAAGTTTCACCTTTGGGGCCTTGTGAAGGAGCATGACCAAAACCATCCAATCCAAGACGCCTTTTTCTCCTCTTATACCAAATGGCAAAAATGCCCACGCAAATAAGCACAAGTGCTCCCCCAATCCCAATTCCTACTCCTAGTGCCACTAAAGTAGTACTGTTCGACGACGGAGCACCCGTTCTAGAGGTTCCATTACCCGATGTAGGCGGCGGAATTATCAAGGTCGCCGGAGACGGCGGACTAGCAACGCCTGTAGACGGAGGAGTTATACTGGGGTCCACCGGAGGTGGTGGAGCAGTTGCATTATCCGACGGCAAAAACGGTAACGTTGGGCCCGACGCCACTCCCGGAGGCCCAAAAGACATTACAGGACTTCTCTTTTTCTTTTTTGAGAAATTTCTTTTAGCACTCTGAAACTAAGATCTTGTAAAAAAAATTGTATTTTGATATTTTGGGGGTGGAGTAGAGGATTAGAGGGGACAGTTGGAGTAGCGACCAGACATAAAGACTAAGGAAAAGGAAAAAGGTTTAAGACATGGTGGAGAAACGTGAACAGTGAAGAAGATGCAGAAATGGAAAATGTGAAACGGCGTCGTTTACAACTTGCGGAATATAGAGCACCTGCCTTTTTTAAATACGAGGGGCGCTTGTTTTATGACAGTACTTTGAAGCGTGTAATTCGGATTCGGAGTCTGCGCACGATACGACGATACGGAGAATTACGTTTGAAAAAGAAAAGAAAAAAGCAGATCGCGCGTGCGATTACAGCATGTGATTGGAGCTTTTGTCGATAGCCCTTCTTCCGTAGGCTTCTTGATCCAAGTTGGTGAACGACCATCAACCTTTTCGCCCTCGTTCTCTCTTTCTCATAATTGCAGTTTGCCACATTATGTTTATTTATCATTTACAAATGATTTTTTATCATATAGTAGTGAATAAAATATTTTCGATTGAAGAAGTCGGACTTTCTAAGAAAAGTATTTCGTACATTTTTTAAAGAAATAAGAAAAATATTTATAGTAAAAGAAATCATCATTCTTTGCGATTAAGCGCCATTCTTTTTCTTAGGTCATAATTAATTTCACTTTTTATCATCTTTTCACTTGTAATCGAGTTTCATATTCCAAATTTTTCAAATTAATTTGAAATAGTCTCATGTCTAGATTCCACAAAGACCTATGCTTCTGTTTAGAATAAGAACCTTCCATTCGCTAGAAGCAATAAATTGAACTCATTGTATCATGATTCACCGCAACATTCGTTAATGGAGAAGGCAATGGAAATAGGGGAGATCGTGGTGAAGCATAGCTTTCGTGAAGAACACAATATTACACATCTTTTGGCAAGAGAAGCTCTTAAGCAGCCTAGTTATAATAAATTGTATACTTTTGTTTTACCTCCTGAATCTGTGATAGATGTCTAACACAAAGATCAGGGAGGTCATGTTTGTGTTAGGAAAGTCTCGTCTTTTACGTGTTGTAAGTTGGTTGCCTTATGTAATGACAATGCCCTAAGAGGCATATCCATAGCCCATCAGGGCACTTGTAATGACGGTAGTTCGCTACCACCCGTACACTAGCTTATTATAAATAAATATCTTTATGCTCAAGAAAAATGATTCACCGCAACATGTCCACTTGACTAGCTTTTTTCGAAAATCTTTTATTGGTCTCGTCTTGAATAAGAGTTAAGAACAAATATGAAAATGGATTCAACTAAAACAACTTGGAATGGACTATATTCTTGTATACGGATAAAACCGAGCTCGATGCTCGATCAGGCACCTGAAGTAATAGACCGGAGTGGGCACATCTGTATCTAGGTAGAAATCGAAGTCACGGGTCACACTGGTCTCGATATCGAAGTTCGGGGTTCGATCTAATGTCCAACATAGTCAGCCGAATCGGGATATGATAAATATCCGACTAGAAAGCAATATCGAAGCCGGCCATCGAAATCATCAGACTTGCCCTCGAGTTTGTCGAGGACGTAACCGTTCATATTCTCAACGGCCTCGAAGATAAGACCTGCCAGCTCAGTCGACAAAGATACGTGATTCTCGCCATTTAACTAATCATTATGGCATAAATCACGGGATTGGCGAAAAAGAGAGCCAACGGTCCACTAAATCAAGATTATTGTTTCTTATAACATATTACCTAAAAGGTAGATTCTCCCCCAATAAATAAGAGGGGACTGAGTTATTTAGTGACACATTGTAATAGATATAAAAGCAATATACTGTTAGTTTTGGCTCCAACTCATTTTTGCTCTGTCTTTCATAATCTCATTATCATTGGCTAAAGGGAAATCAATCTCATAAGACTACGTTTTGCTCAATTTGTGAAAGTTATATCTATCTTTCTACTGTTTATTTCTACGTTAATCTAATTTCTCGCACTTGTATCAATTCATATCATGTATCCTTAGAACCGCGCATAAATTCAATTATTATCCGATTTTAAGGGTAAACAGTTTGGTACCCGTCGTAAGGCTAAGGATAATAGTGATTGTTTGGTACAAGCCTACATAACACATTGCTTTACACTTGCTCTTTGAAGTATCTTTGATTTTAGGCAAACTCTCAATTAGCACCCTCATAATCGACAACGAGTCCGGTCATCAAGATGAGAATAACAACATGGTGCCCGGTAATACAGGGCCACCCACTGATGTCGTCGGAATTCGGGTTGCATATCTGATTGATGTGAATTCACATGTGGCCATCGACGCAAACTTGCATACCGACCCTGAAAATAGCGTCTGTGGTGGAGCCCGATCGGCAGCTCGAAACACATAAAACACTGAAGAAGACGGAATCAGCCTACGCATGATTTTTGAAATGTTGCAAGCTCAACAAGTGGCGATAGCTCAGTTGCAGAGCCAGAGCCAGACTCCGAGAATGAACAAACCCGATCCACCTCAAGAAATTACTCATAGAACATAACCGGCCGTAGTAAGATCGACTGAACAGGAGTCAAGTACCAACCCCGAAATAATAAAAATGATTCTTTCGTAAAAGCACATGCAGGTGCCATAAAGGTCGAAACCAGGAAATCGGACATTTTCAAAGTTAAACAGAAGGATAACGAAACGCTCAAGGAATTTGTGTCCCGTTTTCAAATGGAACGAATGGACCTGCCTCCAGTCACTGATGATTAGGCTATTCAAGCTTTCACTCAGGGACTCAATGTTCGAAGCTTTATTGCTTCACAACAATCGAAGCAAAATTTAATAGAAAAATCAGAGTCAAAAAATCAGTATCAATCAAAAAATCAGAGTAGAAGATGGTCAACTGGGAGCCCCTTCGGAGTCCATTTATCCCGACAGGACCCTCGAAAGAATCAAGAGAGACACTGATCGCGAGCCAGGATCAAAATGGGATCGATATCGGCCATATAATGAAGATCGGAGGAGCAGCGGATATGGTCGGAACCATGAAAGAAACGAAAGGAGAAATGATCAAGGTCGAAACAGTCCAGGGATCATAACCAAAAACGGTTTCAATATGTCCATCGGGCCTAAAGAAGCACCGAGGCTATCGGAGTAAAACTTTAGTATCGATGCAACCACCATCGTATCGGCCATCGGGCAAATCAGGGATGTCAAATCGCCCCGACCTCTACAATTTGATCTAGCTCAAAGGGATCCTCGCCTGGTGTGCAAATACCACGGAACTCACGGTCATAGATCGGAAGATTGTCGACAACTGAGAGAAGAAGTAGCCCGACTATTCAATGCTGAGCATCTTCGAGAATTCTTGAGCAACTGAGCCAGGAATCACTTCATAAATAGGGATTCTAAAAGGCAAACAGAAAAAGAAGATACCGAACCTCAACATGTCATTAATATGATCATTGGTGGGGTCGATATCCCGCATGAACCAATATTGAAACGCATCAGAGTGTCCGTCACCAGGGAAAAGCGAACTCGAGAGTACGGACCGGAGGGAGTCCTATCATTCAGCAATGAAGATGCAAAAGGAATCATACAACCTCACAATGATGTACTGGTAATATCTATACTAGTAAACAAAACTAGAATTAAACGTGTGTTAATTAATCCAGGTAGCTTGGCCAACATTATTTGCTCGATAGTCGTAGAACAGCTCGAGTTACTAGACAAGATCATGTCCGAAGTCCGAGTCCTTAATGGGTTCAACATGGCATGTGAAACCACTAAAGGGGAGATCACATTACCAGTCAATACTGCAAGAGTCATATGTGGGACCAAGTTTTATGTGATTCAAGGAGACATGAGGTACAATGCCCTTCTCGAAAGGCCATGGATCCACCACATGAGGGCGGTAACCTCAAATCTTCACCAAGTGCTAAAATTCCTGGTCCTGGAAGGGATTAAAAAAATCTATGGAGAACAACTAGCAACAAAAGAAATATTTGTCGTTAAAGAGTTGATTCCGATATCAACACTCACAACATCGAATGAACCAAGTTCAAGCTTGGACCTCGATGCCAAATAGCAATCACCAATACCGGCCTCGACACAATCGGATAAGCAAAAGATTTTCGAGAGCGACGATTACGAGGTCCCTCGGTCTTTTATAGTGCCAGATGACTCCGATGCTACCAAATCAACAGTCGAAGAGCTGGAGCAAGTTACATTGATCGAACATCTGCCTGATCTAAATGTATACCTAGTTATAGGGTTAACTCCCGAGTTCAGGAAAATTTTTATTCAATTTATCATAGTTAACATCGATTGTTTTGCTTGGTCCCATCTCGATATGGCAGGGATCCCACCGGAGATAACCACTCACAAGCTGAGCCTGGATCCGAAAATCACTCTGGTCAAACAGAAGAAGAGACCCCAGTCTGAAGTAAAGCATGCTTTCATCAAGGACGAGGTATCTAAACTCCTTAAAATAAGATCCATTCGGGAGGTTAAATACCCAGAATGGTTAGCAAACGTAGAGGTCGTCCCTTAAAAGTGAACAAAATGAGAATATGTGTAGATTATAAAAATTTAAATAAGGCATGTCCCAACGACTCTTTCCCATTGCCCAACATTGATCACATGATCGACGTCGCGGCTGGCTACGAGACCCTCAGTTTTCTCGACGCCTATTCCGGGTATAACCAAATACGGATGAACCCGAACGACCAAGAAAAAACTTCCTTCGTCACTAAATACGGCATGTACTGCTATAACGTAATACCATTCAGATTAAAAAAATGTTGGTGCCACTTATCAACGTCTAGTAAATCGGATGTTCGAGGAAAAAATAGGAAAACCCATGGAAGTTTAAATTGATGATATATTAGTAAAGTCCTTGCGAGCATAGGACCATTTAAAACATTTACAGGAAACCTTCAGTATATTGAAGAAGTACAACATGAGCTGAACCCGGAAAAATGTGCTTTCGGGGTCAGGTCAGGAAAATTCATCGAGTTCATGGTATCCAACCAAGGAATCGAGATTAACCCCGATAAGATCATGGCTATAGAGGACATCACTATAGTCGATAACGTAAAGGCCGTACAAAGGCTAACTAGGCTCATTGTCGCCCTGGGGAAATTCATCTCGAGATCCTCTGATAAAAGCCATCAATTTTTCTCACTGTTGAAGAAGAAAAACAGCTTTGCATGGACCCCGAAATTCCAACAAGCCCTGGAAGGACTAAGGCGTTATCTATCGAGCCCGCCACTACTTCACACTCCGAGGGCGGATAAACAATTGTACCTATATTTGGAAGTATCAGAGATAGCGGTAAGTGGAGTCCTAGTTCGAAAAAAACAAGGTACGCAATTCTCATTTATTATGTTAGTAGAACCTCAGGTAAGGCTGAAACCAGATATCCTCACCTAGAAAAATTGGCTCTCGCTTTGCTAAGTTCCTATAGGAAACTGAATCCATATT